ACCATAACCTGAAGAGTAAACAACAACAAACAATAAACAACAGACCAATACCATAACCTGAAGAGTAAACAACAACAAACAAACAACAGACCGATACCATAACCTGAAGAGTAAACAAACAATAAACAACAGACCGATACCATAACTTGAAGAGTAAACAATAAACAATAAACAGACCGATACCATAACCTGAAGAGTAAACAACAACAGACCGATACCATAACCTGAAGAGTAAACAACAACAAACAATAAACAACAGACCGATACCATAACCTGAAGAGTAAACAATAAACAATAAACAACAGACCAATACCATAACCTGAAGAATAAACAACAAACATTCTGATTCTTCTTGGAATCATTGATGACGAGCATTAAGAATGACGATATAGAACATAGTATATGTATATCGTCCATATATATATTAGTGCTGGGCAAGTTAACGCGTTATTATCGCGTTAACGCATTCATTAATTAACGCCGACAATTATTGTATCGCGCGTTAACGCAGTTTTTTAATTTATTATAATTTTTTTTTATTGAAAGACAAGAGACAATACATATACATAACAAGAGGATGACAAGAACAGTGGGATAAAAGCCAGCAAACATCCTATAGTCAGTTGTGTATATGTGTGTGTGTGTGTGTGTGTCCTTGAGCCTTTTGAGATGGGAAAAAAAAAAAAAATAATAATAATAATAATTAAAAAACAACAACAAAAAAAAACAGGTAAGTATTTTATAATTTATTATTATTGTAACAGACCGTCTCATGTTTATCGTTTTGTATTGGAGATATGATGTCCCTTCAGGGTTGCCGTAGAGAAAAGGCGACTTCCGCTTCTGGTCGATGGGGGGGGGGGGCAGAAATAAGAGAGAAGCTGCTCTCCCTGGAGACTACTGGACATCGCTGCGGTAAAGTCAGCAGACACTCAGATCTCCGTGGTCAACTCAGCAGACACTTACATGTTAGTGCACCAATATGCTGAAATTCACGGTAAACGCATTCAAACGGCACAGATCGGGAGCGAGCGAAGGACTTTGAAAGTTAGCGGAAAGATTAACGTGAGACAACATCGGGTTTTCAGAATAAGATACCAACAAAGTATGAATTATATTCACATTAAGTATAAAACATGCTACCTGCATCTCGTGAACCAAATGTTATTGACCTTTTGTTCATATAGCAGTACTTTTAAAATAAAAGTGCGCAATACACTACTTTTGAATTCATTATTGAACTTTGCCATAACAATGCGATTAAATATTTTAATCGTTGCCCAGCACTAATATATATATATATGGACGATATAGAACATAGTATATGTATATAGTATATGTATATATAGACGATATACTGGATACTGTGGAGTGTACAGAATGTGTGTTTTCAGCAGAGTCTCTGCAGGAGGAAGAAGCTCAGAGTGAATCTTTAAACTGGTAAACTGTCTGCAGAGAAACGGTTCTGATGTTCTGATTGGTGGAGATGTGGTTGATGATGAAACTTCATGAAGCACGTTTCAATAGAAAGCTGATGGGCCCGAGAGGGAGAAAAACCCAGAACGACATGTTTGTACTTCGATATCTGAGGACAACACATTAACCACGGCAACTAGAACTCTAAATTTCCTCACAAAGACACAAACACGGCTCACACACAAACACTACGTCTCACCTTCGATTGCAAACGGTTTCCCGACTGTTGCAAGTTTACAGTCAGCGTCGATGGAAACCTCGTAATCCAGAAGAGCTTTATCCATGATGAAGGCATCAAGGAGAGGAGGATCTGTCCTTCAACACAGAGCAACAAGGTTACTACACGATGAAGGTATCAAGGAGAGGAGGATCTGTCCTTCAACACAGAGCTACACAGTTAC